AGAGGGCAGGATTGCTGCAGGGAGCTGCACTTGGAACACGTGGGGAAGGAAAATTTGCTGTTTCCACTCCTCACCCTGGCTCCTGCCAGCCTCTCTCACCTGGCATTCCCATGGGCTCAGTCCCTTCTGTTGGGATGGTGTCTCTGTGTGACCCTTTGCTCCCCTTCCAGGGAGGAATGCAGGTGTGCACATCCTTCCTCCAGCAAGGGAAAAGCAATGACCAAGCACGGATTTCATTCCCTCCCTTCAAATCCCTGCTCTGCTAAAGGCTCTCTCACGAAACCAGTGGGGTCACTTGGCCTCTCCATGGTTTTGCTCACCACCTTTAAGACACAGATAAACCTTCCCAGGGCGATTAAGGAGATAAATGCATTAAAGATTAAAAGGCACTCTGATGTTCCAATACCACGAGCTGTAGGAGTACTTAAAATAGATCCATTTGGGGCAGCAATTAAAGAACATATTACTAATTTCTGAGTCTCAGCTCCTGCCTTCCTAATGCTGGTTATTTTTGCCCATAAAGGCATTAATCCTATCTTCCTGTAAAAATGACATTTCAGATATTCATCATCTTCCACTGCTGTCCCTCTGCCTCTCTGCCTCACCATCATTAACCAGTGGCATCTGTTATATGGTTTATGCAGTGTGATTTGCAGCCACAGACCTGCAATACAGTGAGAGCCATTTTCTCTATAAGGGGCTGCTCGGAGCTGCAGATATTTTTTATCCATCATAAAAAAAAAATTCACATTCTAAAAGTGTGTTTATTATGCAAGTGCCTTGTCACTACTTAAGTGAGAGAGTTATATGACTTTCCATTAGGGGAAGAATCAACATCCAAAGCACAAAAATTATATGAAATGCAGACATGGTTTATATTTTGGAAGCTACATGTTTTGAATTACACTGTCACACTTCATAACTTCTTTCTAAATTGCTATTTTATATTTTGTTTATCTCCAAATCCCATCTACAGGGATGGTCCAAACTCCACTGTGTAAAATAACTACATGGGTAGATGGAAACCTATAACCCATGCTGTGGAACCAGGCAACAAAGGTGACTTCTCACAAGCTACAGCCCTGTAACCTGGTATTGCCACAAACAGGTGGAGGTGAAGAACACACCAATGCTCAGCTAAAGAAGTGCAGATAGGGACAAAAAATGGGTCTGGGGTTAAAAAGAGAAACAAAAAAAATCGTATCTGACACACATAAAATCCACCACAGATAGTAAATTCAGATGTAATGTGAAATTGCAGGTCAGTGAAGACAGAGCAAGGTGCAAAACCATGTCAGCAAACATACAAAAATTATATCAAATGGACCTGAAATTGAGAAAGAAGAAAACATCAGTGTGAACATTGTATTTCTCCTGGCCAAGGACTCCAGAAGTTGTTGAGCCACCACAAACCCCCAGATGAAACCTCCAAGTTTAGGACCCACAGAAGCAAGGACAAGCACAACACCAGGATAAAGCACAGGAAATGAGGAGTGTGTGTGTAACAATCCTAACTGCACTACCATTTCTTTTCCTTTGATAATTAAATCTGGATTAATAATGTGCATACTCTAAAGATTTCAGTTATATTAGCAATAAATTATTGGGTGTATATATGTGTATATATATGAGGTGTGGCTCCTCTTTGCCCATAACAGGTTTTGAGCATAAAAATGGAGTTTCTTCTGTTAAAGTTTATGGTTCAAATCATTCTCTCTACTGTTGTTGTCTCCTTTTAGTGGTGGCCAAGGATAAGCAACTGGTAGTTTCATTCAGCATCTTAAAAAAAGCCCACCACAACAAGCTTTGCTTTGACAACTTGAGCCAAACATCACATTTCTGTATTGCTTCAAGGTGAAAATGTCATTGTCACTCCAAACAACTCCACAGATTTTAAATGCACAAAGTAAACTACTGCATGTCCCAAAGCAGTAAAATTAAAGGCTTAGGAAATTGCCCTAGACCTCCTGCTGTCACTTTACTATGGATAGCAGGAATTGTTCATCTTGGGACATGGATGGTGCAAGCTTTAAGGCGTCAACAAACAGCTTGGAAGTCTGGGGACATTTTCATCTCAGCTCATGGTCATTAAATTAAGAACAGTTACAGACACTTGAGCACTGGGAGAAGAGCACAGCCACAGAAGTCACCCCCAACAGAAGTAAAGGGTTTTGATTTCCATGGTAGTGTACAATAAAGACAATCTGCTTTAGGATTCATGAGGAGTAACTAAAGGACCAAAAACTGTTCACTGGATTTGAACAAGTATAAACCAACTGCAGTTCTCCTGGTAATGCATAAACCATCACAAAAGATGTAGCAGGGAAGAAATAGGGGGGGGTATTTATTCCTCAAAAGCCCAAGATTCATAGAATAACAGAATCACAGAGTGGTTTGGGTTGGAAGGGACCTTGAAGACCATCTTGTTCCAAAACCCCTTAGACCAGGCTGCTCCAAGCCCCATCCAGCCTGGTCTTCCTGCCCCTCTGATGTTCTCCAAGAGTTTAATGTTTTCCTACCACACACCACCTACATACAGATCAAGAAACAAGTACAGAGAGGTCAAAGTTACCTCATACAGAATTCAGAGAGGTCCCAAAGTACTGCTGTGTCCTTCACTGACAACCTCTGAAGGCAAAGCATTTGAACAGGACACCAAAAGAGATCCCAAATCATATTCAGACCTTCCTTCTCCAGAGCTGCAGGCCACCAGAAGGACTCCTATTTTATGGAAGGCACAGATTATCTCATTTTCTGCACAGATTATCTCATTTTCTGCTTTACTTTCTGTCTAAATATTGCTGGTTAGAGAGTCAGCTGATGGGCTGTAAAACTGACAGTCTTGTTACTGGTGCTTATAAATTGCTTTTGCTCAGCTGGAGTTCATGTAGGACCATCTGACTGCCCAGAACTGACAGTTTTAATGATTCTGTTTCTCCAGCACTTTCTCACTGACCACTACAAAAATCTGATCTGTCTCTTGTTCTGCCAAGCTGTTTTGTGGATCAAGTTCCCTGTCCTCTGGGGATTTACAGTGTGTCAGCCATCAGACCAAGCAAGCTCGATAATAACTGACCTGAGAATTGCTACTCCAACACTTCTGGGCTCCTCTGTACTACAGATTTTAGCCTTAAAATGTCACAATTCTGAAGGCTGGAGGACAGGTGCATCCCCAGGAGAAAGACACAGGTGCAAAGTATTTTAAAAATGGAAAATGCCAACTGTAAAAGTTTGGTGCTTGGCTGCTGTACCCTCACCCCAGACTCTGTTGGGTACCATTATCTTTTTTTTCCAGTTCTTCCTTTCCTGTGCTGCATCCCAGGTGAAGCAGAACAACTTCCCCTTCTAAACCACGTTTCACTCACACAATATGGGAAATTCCTCACATCTCAGCACTACCTGGTGAAGGAAGAGACACACAGAGCTCTTCCCTGGGATGCACAAAGGCTGAAGCAGGCAGGAACACAACGCCCCTGACCCAGCTGCATCCAGGGGCTGCAGCTGGAGATATCCAGTGGTTACAAAGCTGCCTTAAAAGAACAGGAAGCTGATTTCAAAGAGGTATCTTTAGATGAAAAGCACTCAGAGAAAAAGGCTTTCAAAGAGAAGTAGCCCATGCAGGAGATCTAAAGCTTTACCAGCCCTGTACTGTGTGTTTGGTGTCTCCAGGTGCTCCAGCAGAACAATGGGAGCAGCTCTTCCAGCCTCCTGCCAGGTTTGGGGGGATTTCTTATGGTCTTAACAATCCAATTCCTGCTGACACAAGCTGTATATGCTTTTTCCACCTTTCCTGTTTCCCTAAGAAGCACATAGCCAGGACCAGGCATGGATTGATGTGTGCCCACGAACCCAGAGCAGGGGAAGCAGGGCAGAAATTCCCACCTGGGACAAACTGGAAAGAGGGGAAGGGCTCTACTCCTGCAGCAGCATCTCAGGGAAAATGAGCCCAGTACAGCCACAAAGATGTGACAGTATTTCCCATTACCCACACACTCCCAGGAAATCAGCCTTCCCACCACCTGGGTTCAGCTCATTCCATGGCCTCAGTGAGCTCATGCAAGCCCTCAGTTTTCCCAGAATCATAGAACCACAGAACCATGGAATGGCTTGGGTTTGAAGGGACCTTAAAGATGGTTTAGTTCCAATCTCCCCATCTAGTTAGATATTGGGCTACCAATGATGATGAGCTTCTCAGAACAGCTAATTCTCTAAGAGTCAGACACAAAGACCCTCTCTATAGATGTGGTTCAGCTCCCACAAACTCACCTGAGAGGTTCCTACTGCTGCTTGATGGGGATTGGTTTGGGAATTGAGTATTCTGGGAAAATATTCCTTGGCCCTAAGCCAAGCTGAGCAAGTTCCTTTCTAAACTCTACCTTGTCCCACACCAGGTTTGAACTGCATCACATGGATTTAACATATATAAACCCTGATTCTTAGGTGGAATAAATTAGTTCTAATCACTAAACACAGAGCCTAAATGTACAGTGGGAAGAAATTGTATAAAGCTTTATAGAGGCTTTGTGGGTTTGTCCTAACACTGCCAGCACAGGGTCCCATGGCTGGACCACATTCCCAAGAAAAGTGGAACTTGGAAAATGCTGCTGAAGCAGCAAATGGGCTGATATGATGGACATATATCCCTGCACCAACACATGCTGGGCAAAGGGAACTGAAATTTCCCCAGGAACCTCACCTGAGAAGTTATTCATTTGTCCACCTTTGGAGCAAGACAACACTAAGGTCTGGGAACAAAGGAGCAGGTTTGGAGTATTCACATTCTCCCCAAAAGGACAACTGAGGTCACACTGCCAGGCACTCCTCCCAGTTCAACCAGTTGTTGCTGGTGGATGGGGTTTCTCCATAAATGAACCAGCTTTGTGTTTAGCTTGAGAGCCAACCCCTGAGACTTGCTGGCACGAGGGACTGTCTCATGCAGAGTGCAGAGCAGGAGACACGTCCTCTGTAAGGGTGAAGGGAGAAGGGGCTTTTTCTCTTACCCAGACCCTGGTTCTGCTGCTCCCACTCGATGGTGTCAGGAACCTGGTAGGACACCCCAGCCAGCTGGGCCACAGGGTTTTCCAGGCCAGCTATGGGGTCCTGGGAGGTCTCCCCTGGAAGTGTGAAACCCGGCAGCTCCGTGTCGCCCTCCATGCTTTCATCCATCAGATCTAGGTCTTTGTCCTCCTCATCTTCCTCTTCCTCTTCTTCTTCTTCCTCCTCCTCTTCTTCTTCCTCCTCCTCTTCACCCTCTGGCCAGGGAGACAGAAAAGAAACATCAGGAAAGATCCCACAAGATAGCAGGTTCATAGATCCCTGGAGGTGAGCACCAAGCTGATACCACTCCTCCAAAGGCAAAGCAGCAGAACAAGCTCGTGCTTGTTTTCCAACAGGAAAGACACCCACAGGGGTCAATTTGGAGGAGCTCTTCACCACTGGAAGTTGCTGAGTAACAATGAGACATTGTCTCAGACTGTCAAATTAGTGGGAAATACAGTAATTTTCTGCTTCCTAATAGCAGAGCACAAACAAGGACGTGCACGTGTACAACACCTGAGCATCTGCAACTGCAGAGCTCTCTGCTCAACTCATTTCAGCTCAGGTGAGAGCTATTTCTCCGATTTTCAGTCTTGGAGGCAGCAATAAGTTGGGTTTGATTTTAACTTTTATTAAGCCTTTCCCAGCTCTGGAAAGGGTGCTGCTTTCCAGCCCAGTTACGTTGATATGGTCCCTCCTCCTGGCTTTGACTGGACCAGGTTGCTCCAAGCCCCATCCAACCTGGCCTTGGAAAGCATTGGGAAGAAGGCAACACAGCCAACACCTCGTGGAAAAGCAGATAAATGTGACACAGAGGAAATCCCTGTGGATTTAGTGGAAGGTGTCCCTGCCCATGGCAGGGAAGGTGGAACTAGATGACCTTTAAGGTCCCTTTAAACCCAAACCATTCTGTGATTCCATGAATTCTCCACCACAGCAGGTACCCATCCATCCCAAAACTGTCTGTACTGCCAACATACACAGACAAATATTTAAGCCATATTTCACAGCTAGAATCTAAAATGGTCACACGGGAAGGACTGGGCTGGATCAAACCAAAGGCCATTTCTGTCCACATCCTATTACCAACCACAACTGGCCACAGATGCTAAAGAAAGACCAGAGTGGGGAACACACAGAGCCAGTCTTCCCACACTTTCTCTTCCCAGCTATTAGTTACCAAAGTCCTGAGGACTTCCTAAGCCAGAATTTGCATCAGAGCTACTTAATAGCTCCTAATGGAGCCACCCACCAGGAAAAGATAATATCTAAAACAATGACATGCTTTGAATTTCTTATGGTTAGTTTGTCAAAGCTGGAAACTAAAACATAGTATTTAGCACTTTATCTAATTTGCACAAAGCTCTGCTTAGCCCTGTAGAAAATTCCCTCCTGATGTGCTCAGACTGGGACAGCCCATCTGCACCCGGGCTGACGCTTTAGCTGAGGGTCTAGGACCATGTTAAAAACCAATAATCCATCCAAATCCCCATTTGTTACCTAGATATCCCATTATTTCTGCTGGAGTTGTACCTCATACAGGTCACAGACACTGCAATGAGATGCAGTGGCTGAGGTAGGACGCCCAAGGGGCTGCACAAATCCTTCCTGCTGTAAGTAAAGAAGGTGATGCTTCACTCCTCTCCTCTCTGCTGCAGGATGTGATGGCACTCCAGCACAGCTGTTCCACAAAGCACACGAGAAACAAACTGGGAAACTTGGGGAATCATAAAATCATTAAGGTTGGGAAAGATCTCCAAGATCACTGAGTCCAGCAGTTAGCCCAGCACCGTGTTTATGTTCACCGATAAAACATGTTCCTAAGTACCACATGCATATGCCTTCTGAACACTTCCAGGGATGGTGACTCCAACACTGCTGTGGGCAGCCTCTTCCAGTCCCTGACCACCCTTTCAGTGAAGAAATTCTTCCTAATATCCAAACTAAATCTGCCCTGGCACAACTTGAGGCCATTTCCTCTCATCCTGTCCCTTGTTCCCTGGGAGCAGAGCCCGACCCCCACCTGGCTCCATCCTCCTGTCGGGGAGTTGAAGAGAGGGAGAAAGTCCCCTTGGGCACCCTTTTCTCCAGGATGAGCCTCCCCAGCTCCCTCAGCTGCCTCTCCTCAGACTTGTGCTCAGACCCTTCCCCAGCTCTGTTCCCTTCTCTGGACTCACTGCAGCCCCTCAATGTCTTTCTTGTCTCGAGGGACCCAAAACTGACCCCAGGATTTGAGGTGAGGCCTCACCAGTGCCCAGCACAGGGGGACAGTCACTGCCCTGGTCCTGCTGCCACACCATTGCTGACACAGGCTGATGACTGAGAGGTTGTATCAAGGATTTGCTTTCAAACACTGCATGTTTTTCTCAGCTCACCAGACAAGACAACCCCACTTGCCACCTTTCAGTTCTAGTCCTGTATTTCATACAAATGAGCTGCTGTTTGGATTTAGCTGCATCATCCTGCTATCTCCTGGTTTTTGGGGAAAAATCATTCCTGCACACAATTATACCACACAGAGCATCTAATGGAGCTTACAGGGAGGTAGTTAGCCCCTTAAATTCCCATTACAATTTATAGGCAGTTTCTGTCTTACAGTGTGCCCATCATTTTGAATCAACATAAGAATTTTCTCTGTCAAACTGCATGTTTTCATATAAAACATACAGATGTGAAGCTGAGAATGGCACCTGGAGAGTGCTCACAGGAAACCTGCAAAGAAAAGTTAATGCAGGTCTTTTGCCCCTGCTGAGAGCAACACAGCTATAAACATTCCCAAAATTTAACAGCTGGAACAGCAGAGAAGAAGGACGTGAACAGAGGCTTTCCTTAGACTGGGTGAAAAAGCAGCCAAGAGAGAACAGGCATCAGATTTTTATCTCTGAAAAACTACTTTGGGACAAGGATTTTAGAAGCTCTTTTGATTTTTAGCAAGCCAAGTCCCAGACACCTGCCAGGATCTAGTGTTGAAGCCACAGATAGCCATCTCCGTGCCTCCAAAGCCTCGAAGGCAGCAGAGCTGAACACCCAAATTGAAAGTGCTGAGGCCACTTATCACAGCTGATCATCACCAAGCTTCATCAATCACCACCAGCCACAGCAGAAAGCTGTGAAAAATGTGATCCCTGTAGCACAACCACTGCAAGGGGGAAGGAAAAGGCTCTTCATTTGTTTCCTTCTCCTCTCTGGCTCATTCCTACATCTGAAAACAGCTTTTTAACACACCCCCCACCCATCCCAAAATGCCAGCAGCTTGCCTCGCTGCAAGGTGCAGTGCAGAGCACCACTTGGTGGTCACAAGGAGGAAGCTACACTTCCAAAAAAAAAAATATATCAGAAACTTCACAAATGTGGGATTTCGGGAGCGGAGGCACAACAGGAGCCCGTGGGCAGCCTGTGCATAAGGCTTGGTAGTCTCATAAGATGGAAAACTAAAGTGAGCATCGCACAGCTGAATCTCAAGCTGGAGGCTTGTGCTTCACTTGAAAGCCTTTTACAGAAGTCATGTTTTCCCTCCTAAATTGGCACTTTTGGGCCTTTGAAAGGCCTCAGCAGCAGCTTGAAAGAAAACAAACAGGAGAGACTGAACGTAGCAAGGACTGAAAGTGCAAAGCCCAGCAGATTCAGAAGGAATTCAGAGTTTCACGTGCATTTCCAGCCCACTGTGAACTATTTTGTGTGTCATGGAACAGTTTAGGCTGGAAAAGCCCTCTAAGATCATTGAGTCCAACTGTTAACCCAGCACTGCCAAGGCCACCACTAACCCATGGCCCCAAGTGCCACATCCACACAGCTTTTAAATCCCTCAGGCATGGTGAGTCCACCACTGCCCTGGGAAGCCTGTTCCAGTGCTTGACAACCTTTCTGTTAAAGACATTTTTCCTACTATCCAATTTAAACCTCTCCTGGTGCAGTTTGAGGCTGTTTCCTCTTATCCTGTGTTTGTCACTTGGGAGAAGAGAATATCACTTCCCTAGTCCTGCTGGCCACATATTGCTGACACAAGCCAGGATGCTGTTGGCCTTCTTGGCCACCTAAGCAGTTTCTGCTGTGAGCCATGCTTGCTCTGTAGCTCTTCAGATGTCACATATAAGCTGATTTTGTTATCCTGTTTGCATGCACTGAATCCATGACGTGCCACATGGATCTATCAAGGAGGGATGGCATCCTGTCTCCTCTCCTGGTGACACCAGGAGACTTCAGCACTGAAACACTAACAGTCTAAGCAGATGTTTGTATTTTCACAGAATCATGGAAAAGTTTGGGTTGGAAGGGATCTTAAAGACCATCCAGTTCCAAACCCCCTGCCATGGGCAGGGACACCTTCCACTAGTCAAGGTTGCTCCAAGCCCCATCCAACCTGGCCTGGAACAGTTCCAGGGATGGGGGATTTTCTACTGCAAGAATAGCCAATGGCAGTTAAAGTCTCATCTCCAAAAGTGAAGCAATCCAAAATCTGCCACTCTCTGACAGACTAAATAACCACTGGTTTCAATGACATAGGCTCTGCTCTGCCTGTATGGCAACAGGAAAGCAAAACACTCCTAAGAAATTCAGCACCTCCCTGCTTTGACAATGGACCAAGCCAAGAAAGATGCAGGCAGCAGGAATCCCAGGGAAAATCAGATTCCCACTTCACACATCAAAAGATTTTATTTTGAAGGACTCGACAACCTTGTAACAGGCACTCAAAATTTCCGGTTTGGAGAAGTGATAAGAGAACAGCAAGAAAACAAGTCTCAGAAAAAACAGCAAATTTTTAGCAGAGTTTTTGGGCTGTCCCAGCTTTATTAGCAGTCACCAGAAACAGCCACCATTGGCCTTTATCTGAACAGATCCACAAGCAACACTGGTGATATCCACAGGATGGGGTTTGCTATTGCAGGGTGGCAAAAGCTCCCCCTGTGCTTGTTTCAAAGACAGGTCTTTCACTACAGAACTGTACATATCTGTGATGACTTCTGTGGCTCAGCAAAGAGAACTGAGACCACATCACACCTCCTTCCTGAGGCATTTCACAGACCCAGTGGGGATCTATGACCAGCAGGGTCTGAAGCAGTTGGACAACAACCAGCAACCTCAAGTAAAAGCCTCAGACTCCATTTTTTGGGGTGTCATTGCTTGAAATGAGCTGCAGCTGAAGCCACTCTGGTCATAACCTTGCTGAAGCAACAGAGTTACACCAGGGCCTCTGTCTGCAGTTGAATAAACTTTC